CATGGCTTGTCCGAAGACTGCCTACTTGGAATTCAATAATTCGGCAAATCTTGGCAAATGACTTTGGCCTGAGCCTACTTTGTCCGCTATGGACTACTCTGGTCCCGGGCGCAGGGACGAAGACAAACCCCCGTTCAACGGGTCTACAGGGGCCACTCTACGGGGTCACCCTGGGCTGGCATGAAGCCAGACACACTTATAGAAATGCGTACGGACCTGAATGAGCTTTGCCACACGCCGGCCTAAGTGAAAACCTAAGGTTCCAGGTGAGTTAAAGCATCTGGTATCCTTCGTGAGGCCTCAAAGAAGCCTCCAAAAAGTTCATCATGCACATCTGCAGAATGCATTAGCCCTTTAATGGAAATTGGAGTAACAGCTTGAGAACACCACAAAATGCACAGGTACGTCGGAGTGATCATCTCCGATATCCTCCCAACTCATAGTCTCCACTGTGCTCTGCACCCTCCCAAAGAAACGAAAAAATTAGCACAATCCGACTGGATCCCTGTGACTACAAGGGGCACACACACACAAACATTAGAAACCAGCAACATAGCTTGTGAGCAGACTGTTCTTTCTATAGTATAGTTTCGATTGGCCTCACAAGGAAGGCACTGTGTTGATCCGTCATCCACCTCCTGCAAATGCTGGGCTACCTTTACGATAGACCAGCACCCAAAATCAAAAGCCAAAGTTATCAACTTAGAAACCTCCCCCGCCGTTGCCAGGCAACCCTTTGCATCTCGCATCTCATCATAGGCCTCTGCCTCGCTGGCGCCTGGCCATAAGCCCACCGCCACGTCCGGTAGCTGCCGGCGAGCCTCCTGGGGGTTGGTCATATACAAAGGAAGGATCGGCGGTGATCCCGAAGAAGTTGCTGAAATCCCAAGTTTGAGCAAAGCAACTCTCAAGTCGGTGAAAGCTCTGGCAAGGATCTGTTTGGATTGGTGGAAAATCATGTACTGTGAAAGTTCCCCCCAGAATCTTCACATCGATCTCGGGAGAGCAATCTTGGGGTTCGATTTTGCGGTCCTCTGCCAGCACGGTGATAGCATCTGAGACTGCTTTAGAAGGCTTCCAACCTGTCAGATGTGAAACATGCCTGTATTCAACGCATTCATTCCTGGTCATGCAGAACGGGATATACATGGTGGGAACATTCATTACCAAAGCACCCGTTGTTGAAAACAAAACCTTGCAACAAACAGCACCAGAAGTGCCTTCCAGCGAAACGCCTTGGCCCAGCAAGCATTGTACCAGTACATGGGCCGCTGCTGCATCAGACTGGCAGTTTGCGGCACGATTGCGGTGCCCCAAGCCCAGACATGTCGGATCATATGGGGAGTGCTATCGGCAAGGGAAGTTCCAATAGGTTTGCGGCCTCAGGGTTAGAGTCTAGGTACTTCTGGCCAGGTACACCGGTGACTCTTATACTCTTCTGTCTGCACCTCTTTCAAACACAAATACATATATATATATAACCTCATATATTGTATTATATTATTATATGTGTTTTTTGTTATATAATGTTATATATATTATACGTTATTTTTACATGTTCTATACACTATATATTATACATATATCGATTATGCCATATATGCGTTAAATGTGTATGTACTATATGAGATACGTCATGTGCAGCCGACTAAGTCTTCAGCCTGGCTCGTGCCCAGGATTTACATCAAGTTTAACATTGCTTGCCTGTCATATCATATCTACAATATCCTGGCCAAAAACTGTATTTAGCAATAGAGGTCATCCACTTGCAAACTGCCGGACACTCTGTCCATGACTTGTTCAGTCACTTGGAAGCTGTCTCCACTTCCGGGGTTCCAATCTTTGAATTCATGTCTTAATGGCAGCCTCCAGGGGAGCGCAAGTTTGTATGATCCAAAAGCTCTTCTACCAACCAGGTCTATCTCAACAAACACGTCTTTCTAACCCCAGAAAGACATGTATTAGTTTGGTCGCGGGTGCCTTCAAATCGCTGTGTGCATCCTTTGGCAGCGATCCATTGCTTGGCGTCGGCATGGGCGATGAACTACGCACAGTATGGCATTGCTTGTATTAGAACGAGCTCCCACATGTACCATACATGTACAGTGTGCACATGGAAAACCCGTAAAGGTCACCAGGTTTAGGAGGAATTGGGCGCTGCTTTTGTTTCAGGATTGAAACTGGTCACTGAATCGTATTCTCCATCAAACCTTGTCTGCACTGAATGCCAAGATGTTCGAAGTTGTGAGAACAAATCACTGGAGAAGTCCTTTAACCTAGCGCTGTATACAACCACCAAAGCCTTCTGTCCATTCCCACAAATGTCTCACATCAATCCATGCAAGATCCGTCAGTGGTTCAGGACTTTCAGGATTGGGCACCTTTTCTGATTGTGATCATTGAATTGTCTGATCCATCAAGCCAAATCACCCAACTTGCTCAATCTACAGTATGGGTTCTGAAGCTGTTGTGGGTGCACTGAACGCCAAATTAGACTACGCCACAATTGCGAAGCAGGTGTGAGAACTCACCGAGGAAGCAACAAGATAGAGAAAGATGCAAAAATCATCAAGAATCTGCAAAACATGCATTTCGTCCCGTGATGTTTTAAGCAAACGTCAATTTGGTCACACAGGCTCCAGCCCCGAACACTCCACGCTGAAGACGCCGGCGCTCCCCATACTCCCGTGCGGGGCACTCCTTCAAGACAGCCACCTGCCAGGACGGTCCCCGAGGGGGTTCGACCAGCGAAGGACCCTTCGAACAGGTGGTCCCGTCAACTCATCATCTCAACCTAATAGCAAACTACATTAGACTGTCTTCCTTTTCCTTTTTCTTTGTTTCTATTAGCGATGGCGTTCAACCTAATAGCGATGGCCTCCATTGATAACGTTCATTTCCGATGAACCACACTGACCAATTCGGATCACCATGGCTCAGACTTGCAACACCGCGGCTCGCTCCTGTTTTATGTCAATTTGGCTTCACTCTCCTTGCTCTCCCTCGGCGGCGCGTCTGAGATGCTGCTATAGTCCGTCACATAGGCCACCTCCTCCGGGTGCTTTTCCAAGATGCATTCGACATACTTCGACACCAACATTCGATTGGACCCGCTTTGAACGTTTTTTGTGTCTGCCATTTCGCACCAGTGTCCATGTGTGCGTGTGCCTGGCCTCGAAAACCTCGTCTTCCTCCCCAATCTCTTCATAGGGCCTCACATGTGTTTTTCTGTTAAATCGACGTGGCGTCGATGTCTGGGATCGCCGACATTCGATGTCTGAAATCATGTGTCTACGAGTCTACCCACTACATCTCTGACAACTGAAATTGTCCGGTCCCAGAGCACCTCTCTGGCCCACATTGCACCGAGTAGAGCACGCAAAGATGCTCACCCCTGAAGAACTTCAGCCACCGAAGTGGAAATCACGGAAATGGAAACGCCTCCTTTCTCAAGACTCAACGGCATCTTGCAAGCAACGCCAGCAATAGCAAAGGTACTCCATACCTCTCTACCAGAATGAACCGAAGCAGAAAAGATCAGAAAAGCTACAAGAAATAATATGCAAAAAAAAGGATAAAAAATATGGTCGAGTCATGTCTCACCTGTAATGTAATCTGAATCCTTTTGAAAGTGCCTGCCACGCCTCAATCGTTTGGCCCCAAGCACCTCGCCAAATTTGGGTGGATTGAGGGTGCCGATGCTCTTGGAGAAGAGGTAGTCCTCAATCTCAGTGACTGACAGCACACTCGGACCACTCCAAACATAACTGTTTGTGGCTATGGAGGCTTAGTTTGGAGGTCCCACAGATTTCTCCTTCGTTCATGTCATTCAAACCTGGTGAAGTTGGGGTGGATCCTGTGACGAGGCGCCGCTGTCGAAGATACCATGTCCATTCAAGAGATCTATATATATATACATATATCCCTTCCTGGAAGCAAACCCTGAGCACCTTCTGGTCATTTCCAGACCCTGAGCCCTGAGCAGTGAGCAGCCGTTCCAGTGCTTTCACGTCGATCTCCTGATAGAAGCAGAACGACCACCACGTTCCAGGAAGGCACAATGAAGCGAAAACGACCCTGATATCGCCGGAAGGAAAATACTTGTTGGAAAAACAGAAAGACTTGAGCAGCCAAAGGCATCTTGTGTGCTGAATCAAGCTGTTCAAGACTAAGCCTGCAGAAGGCCATGCTCATGCAAGTGGCATTCAATAGTCAGTACAAAACAAATGCGACATAGCTTCCAGGTTGTTTCACAGGCTTAAGAAAGTGAGAACCTCATCAACAAAAGACCTAGGTAGGGTATGGTCGGTTACTTGAGATGTCTAGGATTGTCTAGGCTCCAGAATCGGAGGTACAGGTACACCAGCAAATGCACCCGGGCTCCCCGACAGAGTCAATTTCTCCTTTGCTAGGCACCTCGACAGCAACTCTGGACTTGGCTGGTTAGAGCTGAGAAAGCTAGGCACATTCGGAAACCTCATGAAGAACTCCAATGAATCCAGGTCTTCACGGACTCTGTTTGCTGAGATCGACCAACTCAAATTGTTTGGACACCTGGACCGGGACCATTGCACTTTGGTATCCCGAGGCTACGTTGCCATAAAGGTGTGCGTGGAGTCAGTTTGTCTTTCACCACAGCTTCGGCCACTCGCCTCTGGCCCCCTGCTTGGAAGTTTGATCTCCAGAGCCATGGCAGACCACTTCGGATCACTTGGTGATGGGATCTTTGAGTGTTTGAGGAAGCACGTATCCTTGTCCTGTGTTGCTATGTGTTGCTCCTTCAGTTCCTTGGTCCATTCACCTTGTGCCAACTTGGCTGCGGTGATGTTGCAGACTGAAAATATCGTTTGAAGCATATTAAAGCAGCCTCCCATTACCATCCTGCCTTCCAGCAAGGGCCAGAAGAGTTCTCTGTCCATGGCGTCAGGTCAAGAGCCGTTCTACAGCGAAGCGTTGCTTGGTGAAGATGGTTTAGAGGAAGCCATGTCCTCTTCAGTGGCTTATAGAGCATTGACGCTCCTCAGGCTCAATGAGGGTATCGATCCGTGACATCGATACAGTATGTAGATGTATGTAGCATGGTTCGCTCCGTCTCGGCTCTCCCTAAGACGGGACGATGCACAGCCGATGCGGAAGGCCCTTCGATGGGGCCTCATGGATCTGAAGTCACACTCTGTGACTCCAAAGCAGCCCACTCACCTAGGCCCTAGATGGCCCTAGGACTCCATTGTAATTGGTCTCAAGCGGGGTTCAAAGAGCATTCTGTGGCTGTGATTGAGATTTGATCGCAAAAGTCACACTGGATAGCACTGGATAGCAAATAGCACAGGACTTTGGTCAGCAATATCTGAGACTTGGCTCATGTGACTGTGGTCACTCCAAATAACTATCGAAATATCTCGAATCATTCAACCCCGAACAGGACCCCCTGCGTGGGTCGTCGCACGCGATTTGTCAAAGCCTCCAATCGCTCAGTTTGATCATCTGGACTCGGTGTGCGGGACCCGCAGCTGCAATGTACCAAAGGAGCCCGTAGAAAAAGCTGAGGCCTGGAAGGCATACCCAATTGGCTGATGCTTGGAACAGAAAGGACCCATAAGGACCCAAGGGCGCTCCTAGTTGCAAAGTTCAAGACTTCCGTGTTCTCAACATTGTGCCCAGTACATGGGTGGCAGCAGGGATTGCCATGATTGGCCGGATCCGAAGTTTTCTTTTGGTTAATGTCAACGCTCCTGCGGGTGGTTGATGAGTTCTCATTGGCGGCTATGAGCCTTGTTCCCAGGCACTTGCCCACAAAGAGTAGATAGCAAGCGAGCAAGTGACCAGAATTTCATGACAGCTGGAGCTTCAAAAAATGCGTCTTTTTGGCTCATGGTCTGAATTGGTAGCACAATGGACTCTGCAGAATCTACAACTAAGTTCCAGTACTGGCTGTCCGGTACAGCTATAGCTGGTGCAAATGTGCAACCACTCCTCCTGGCCTGACATGATGTAGAAGCCTTGGGGGTTGAACAGCGGTTCCAGTGCTCTGCTTCAGGTGTCCAAGCCACCAACCGATCTGAATAACCTTTGCTTCCTAAACCAAACTATAAAATGTGTCCGCCTTTGTGCTTGACAATTCTTTGTCTATCCGAGTATATCTATGGAGGTCCTGTATATGCAGTCTTTGTTTGCATCAGCTAAAGAAACACTTCTGGGGATGTGCAACCTTGAGTTGCACCAAATGCGTCTAAATAGAACAAAATTCCTGTCTATCCACCCAAAAGCTACCAGTCCCAAAGGCTTTGCAACACTGTTCAATTGGATTGGAAGTGCAACCTGAAGGTCTTACAGCCTGCAGCAGCATGGCCCCCAGCTCTCGCTTTCTCTCTCTCTCTCTCTCTGTCTTTCTCTCACTCACTCGCTCGCTCGCTCGCTCCCTCTCTTAGCATCGTTGGAGCTTGCCCTAAATCATGATGATCGATAAACATGCATGCAGCATGCATTTCCAGAAGTCCAGTCATGAAGACTGGTTCACGAGCACTTACATATTTCAGTCCAATCCCCTAATTCGGTTTCCACGCCAAACAAGTCTTGGAAGGCCTTAGGTCTGCGTGTTAACAACCTGTTTGTGCTGCTATCACTGACAACTACCATGATCACCACTACAACAGGACCAAAACCAATAAGACACTACAACCACTATGACCACCACAACGACCAGACAATTACTGTCATATCTATAGCGTCTACATGTATCTACTCGTCCCCTGGTAGCATTGATGCAACTAACTACAAGACTGATTATATCCTACAGTACTAGAAAAGAAGAAGACCAAGAAGGCATTCTATACCCCAGAACAACCCGAGCTGCTATCAACTCATGTTCGTGCTCTTTCCAAGAAGCCATCGACTTTCACCGCGCAGCTCGGACTGCTGCAGCTGGTGGCATCAATGAGCTTCAGTGTCACGGTACTTGGCCACATGCCTCCCGGTGAAGTACCATCGTTCAGGGCCGAACAAATCACCGGGGGATCAGCGACAACCGCAAGTGGTGTTTCAAAGCAGGATTATCTGTTGCTGGCAAACTTGTGGGTGTGAAGTGAAACCCAGGATAACTTGCCGCGGAATAAATAAAGCCCTATATACTCCTTAGACACTCGATCTGGCACTGCAAAAAAGAGCACCCTCACCCAGTGCTGCCAACCTCCAAGATTGGCCAATGTGTTCCTCAGCCCCACAAGATCAACAAGGTCATTTCTACCAGACTCAATCAGAGTTCATTGGTTCTTGATTGGAGAGCCAAGGCTCAGCAGAGTCATGTATGTCCCTCCCATGGCAGGATCACTGATCCGAGCGAAGAAGGCCATGTTGGATACGAACATGCACTGACTCACCACCTCAGCCAAATCGTGGGCAGGCATATGCCGCGTGTTGGAGTTCAACTAGTCAATGGTGCATTGCGCAAATGTTTTCACCAATGTCAAAGACCTAGGCCGGGTTCTCACTACTGGAACTGTTATGAACTATCCTACAGTCGCACATACAGGGCCTTTCTCAATCTGATCCTCCTGAGCTGGAGGCGGCGCCCAGGAGGTACACCACAACCACCGCCAAGTAGAACCTGAATCTGCTTGGATTCGTGGATGGCAATGAAAACCGCAGGGGTACACAAGCATCATCAATGACCTACATTGACAAGTATCACGCCATTTCCCATTTCATCAAAAACACCAAAGGAATTCACTGGAGTTGAACAAGTTCCGCTCTTTCTAGTCTGCTTAGTGCACTTGGGTCGAAACGTCCAGTGGATGTCACCAGAGGGTGTGCAACTTACGAGCACTGCAGCAATGAGTACCTGTTGGCATGCGAGCTTGGATCGAGATGAGGCAGGCCGGGCCTTCAGGAATTGCAACTTAGGTGAATGCAGCTGGCAAGCAGGCCGACTTGGTCACTAGATTCACAACATGCTCGTGTCCAAATTGTCCAAGCAAAAGTATGGTGATTGGATGTGATTGTTTGATCTATATAAGTTTTAAATGTTGGTGTAAAGCAAAGAGCTTTTCAGAACCTACTGTGGGATCTCCGAACATGGATACCAGCCTAGCAACTGTCTCTGGTTGAAGCATCTGGACCATTGTGACATATGTTGAATCTACTTGATATCCTAAAGTAAAGCAAACAAACCTGCAGAGATAGGATTTACACTTGTTTGAAATCTCAGCCCTCCGCCGCGACCGCAGCATGACCTGCAACCCTTGCGCACCAGCAAAACTCTCCAAGGATAGAACCGCATTGCCAAAGCCCAGGGAGTTGAGTTTGATGTCCAACGCGAGATCACCGCTGGGAGCAGAATATATACCTCACGAGTTTCCGCTTGCATGCCACCTCCATGTAATATAACAGCCACATCTGATTACAAATGTTATATATATATATGTACTATATATATATATATATATGCATGAAACAGAAGAGGACCCTCCCCGCTCACAATCTACTCTCAGATGCTAATTGTCATGCGAATATTAATATGTTTCAAGGCAAACCTAGAGAAGCTCACTTGAGGAAATGGAACATCAAACAGCATCAAGGATCTCCGAAAAAGCACTGAGGATGTGCAGTACTAGTTGTCCACTTGGCTAGCGGCTACCAAGAGCCAGGTTTAAAATGACATGGCTCTTGGACTTGGCAAAGCGAACACGTTCTTTGAAACTGGGTCGCCAGTGGTGCTCAACAGCCTGTGTCGCCTTGGAGCCTATGTAGACCAACCGTGCGCTTGACTAGACTCAGGCAAAACTACAGGCATCATTCCAGAAGCGATGTAAGCCATATGCTCCTCACAAAAATCGTAGGACCGGCGGACGTGGGTGGTAGCGCGCTGGGTTTCCTTCAAGTTCTTGGTCCAAGTAGAGCAGTTTAATTGTTTAGCTTGCTCTTCAATCCCATCTCCCAACCCGAAGTTGCAGATGAAATCTTAACCAGAAACATCGCAGAAGCAGGAATCCTTGTTCAGTCTGACAGCCACACCGAACGACCTCGCTGCCTCGCTCCTTCTTGACACCGAGCTCTTGGAGTTTCAATGGAGCAACACCTCGTGGTGTTTGAAAGCGCCCATGACGTCACAAAGAACCTAATAGCAATGGCCTCAACCTAGAAACTTCTTACTACTAGTCAAAGGAAGTTTAGTGTGCAAAACTTCCGTGTTACGGACATTCAACAGCTGTTCAACCACCACTCATCATACACCA